TCAAATCACAAGAAAAAAATTGTAACTATGTGAGGTGATAGATATTAACTAGACTTATTGTGGTGATCATTTTGCAATATACACAAATATCAAATCATTATATTGTGCACCTGTGTGATAATTGTGATTTATAACAAATATATATTCCGTCTTCCTCTCTGTTTTTGGCACCCTAGGAATTTCCTGCCTGATGAATGGCACAATGTGTCTTTTGTTATGTTAATGAGGTGACTTTGAACCACACCTAATGGTGGGGGCTCATTGTTAGAGGAACCCACCTTGTGATTAGAGGGTTGGAACTTTAAGTTCAACAGGAAGGGGAGGAGAGAACGGAAGGAGGTTGAATCAATCTCCAGTGATTGATGATTTAATCAATTATGTCTATGTAATGAAACATTAATAAAAACCCAAAAAGACAGGGTTCAGAGAGCTTCCGGGTAGGCCAACACAGGGACACGGTGGGAGAGCGACACACTTAGCATGGAATCTCCGTGCCCTTTTCCCATAGCTTGCCTTATGCATCTCCTCTGTCTGGATATTCCTGAGTTATATCCTTTTATAATATACTGGTAACCTAGTAAGTAAGATGTTTCTCTGAGTTCTGTGAGCTGCTCTAGCAAATTAATTGAACTGGAGGAGAGGGGCTTGGGAACCTTTGATTTATCCCCAGTCAGAAACACAGGTAACAACCTGGGGCTTAGGATTGGTGTCTGAAGTGTGTATGTTGAGAGGCAGGGTCTTGTAGGATTGAACCCTCAACCTGTGGCATCTGATGCTATCTCCCAATAGATAGTGTTAGATTTGAGTTGAATTGTAGAACACTCAGCTAGTGTCCCTAGAATTGCTTGTTGGTGTAGAGAATGGCTCCTAGTCCCGCCTCACAAATTGAAATTGCTATCAGAACCTATATAACCTGAAACTAATATAATGTTATATGTCAATTATATCTCAATTAAAAACAAAAACAAAAGGAAAAGAAAACTATTCTCTCTTGACCCAAGATGTCTCCAAAGTCCTTATCTTTGGGTATTTCCACTATAGGACAGATGCCCATGGCCACTTCTGAAGATGACTGATGATATAAGATGAACATAATTGGATTCCATGATTCTGGAGGTCCATATTGAGATTCAGACCAGTGAGTGATAGCAGCAGTGAAGTCATGAGTAAGGCTGGCTAGTGAGTCACCATTCCTGGTCTTTAGGTAGCATCTCCCACAACCATGGATCCAGTTTCCTGGATATATTAAACTTCCTCTAACTCATCCTCTCATGCTTCACCTCTGGTACCCATGGCTTAGTGGGCATAATGAGCTGATGGTAGCAGCAAATAGTTGAGCTTTTCCAATGCTGTTGGAAAGATTCCTTTGAAGAATCAGGCTTCTATCATTGTGTTTCTTTAGAAGCTTCCAACATTTTAGCTGATTTACTGCATATTATGCCAAGCATATTTTTTCTTTTTTTAAGATTTATTTATTTATGTATTTGAGAGAGAGTGTGTGCATGGGGGCAGAGAGAGAGAAAGAGAGAGTCTTAAGCAGACTCCACACTGAGCGCAGAGCCCAATGCAGGGCTCGATCTCATGACCCTGAGATCACGACCTGAGCCAAAACCAAGAGTCAGACATTTAACTGACTGCACCACCCAAGCACCCAAGCATATTTTCTTAACATCCTTGGGGATAAGTCATTTTTTCCCCGACTTATATGTTGAGAAATTCCAAATCTACTGAAAAGTTGCAAGAATAATAACACCTATATATTCTTTAACCAGAGTAACCAATTGTTAACATTTTGACATATTTGCTTTATCATCTTTCTGTATATGTATGTAAATGTGTGTACTGTTTTTTTTGGCTGAAACATTTGAATGTTAGTTGCTGACATAACACTTTATGGCTACAAAGTTCAAGATGCATTTCCTAAAAATAACATTCTCCTATATCAAACTTAGGGAATTTAATATTTACATAATACAGTTATTTAATGTGTAATCTATATTTAAATTTCCCCAGTTGTCTTAATATTGTCCTTTATAACAAAGCTGTTTTTTCCTTTAATTGGCCCAAGAATCTTGCATTGCATTAGATCTTGAAATCTGCCTTCTAATTCTTTTTCTTAGTATTCATCTGACTCCTAAATCATGTAATATGGCCAAAACTGAATGTATCCAACACAGCCTGTGTAAGCTGCCAATTACTAATCATTCTTTTTAAATATCCATTTTACTGTGGAAAGCATCATCATACTTTGACTGTTAGCCATTGAGGACTGGAAAAACGAGAGAACTTATTTAGCAAAATTCATATGTATATATTATGCTAAACACTGGGCTAATATCCAGAAGGGATGGGCAATTCACACACTATGTAATCAACTAAGGTTCTATTTGTAGTTATATTATGAGGGACAATGGTTCATTAATTCAAGTAAATGCTGTGCCTTGATTAAAAATGTCATCACACAGAAGACTCTGTGAGCTGGAGACTTAAAATGCAAGACCTAAAACATTTATATACATTTGTGATATTCTAATCTATTCTTAAGGAACAGACTATAAAGCACCTTATTTGAAATAAATACATGACGGTAGTTGTCAATAAAGATAGATATGAATAGTAGCTTTCTTAATTAATTGCTAATACTGAAGTTCTTTTCAGACAACCTATGTCATCACTGTTTTTTTTCAAACTGTACCTGTACATGTGATTTTATGGATAGAGGATGGCTATTAGTCTTTGGCATATTCCTGTGTGCAAAAATAGAGAATTGGATACATTATATAATTTATATTCCTCTCCCCGCTGCCTCAACTATCAAGATATTTTAAGTAGAGATGAAGCTTAGGGTTTAATTTATGGAGTGAATGAAATATTTACTGTATATCCATTCTTACAAATTGAAAGTTTATGAGATGAGGAGAATTTATAAGAAAATGTATACAAAACAGTAACAGGCATTCATAGAAACATGCAAACAGAAAGGTCCTCATTAAACACATTAGCTTGGATGCCTATAGGAGACAGAAGAAAATGGAATGAGGAATCAAGATAAAGAGGAATCAATCATGACAATAAGCTATGAACTGAGGAATATATTTAAAGAGGGAGGTAGCAGTAGAAAACAAACAAAGTATTGTTAGGGAGTAATACAATATCATGTTTTCCTCTGATTATAGTGAATGGCGTCGTGGCCCATGGCTGCCCACTTCTGAGGAATCTGCTTAGATTTAGAGTGGACTTCATCAAATGGCTGCTGAGAAACCAAATTTCCGGGCTCTACCCTGTTCTCTTACAGCAGTTTTAGAGGAATCCAAAGTTCCCTGGCACCTGAGAGTAGACTAGAGATACCTAGTGGTCTACATGTAAAGGTTTAAAGAAAATTGTAGTAATCACAAAATTAAGTTTATAAGAACAAAATCTTTCCCAGTGTCATACTCTATGAGCAATTTCTGATTAGACAAAAAGTATATTGAATATAAATTATTTTAACTGCAGAGGGAGAATGAGAGACAATGGAAAAGGAGAAAACACCATTCCATTCTTCTACCAGAGCATGGTTTAATGAGAATTTTTAAAAAATGTGTCTAGCCTTATTAAAAATAAGTAAGATTTTTTGTATACTAGTGCTATGATTTAACCAATTCTAGCTGCTCCAAGAATAACAAATGTTTTTCTTACTACACTTGTAACATACTGGAAATGATCAGATCCTAGTGGAGGGAGAGAAATGACCTGAAAGCCCTTACTAAAAATACTGTAACATCTTGAAAGGCCAGTCTTGCTTCTTACCTTCTTTCTTCCACACTGATTCATTTTGACCTTGCCTATGTTCTTCAAGTCATTATTTCTCTGGCTATTTGCTTTTTATTTAAATGAAGTGTTTAAACCAGTGACCTTTTCTCCCGCTCCCTAAAAGAGATTTTTATTGTTCTGCTGCTTCTTAAACAGCTTGTGTTTCCTTCAACCCTCAAGTTGATACTTTTCTCATTTTGATTCAGACTCATAGTGTTAGCCAAGAGGGGTCCAATATCCCCAAAAGGTAGGACAGAGCCCTTCCTGGTCTTTTCTAAACATCATAAAAGAATCATGAAAATGCTGTGCCTACACCTGGCTTTGTATTTGACCTGTTTTTTAAAACAGAACATCATCCATTTAAAGTATCTTATTCTAAAACAGTGTTATTCTTAAATAATTATCCTTTCTAAGGCAGTGTTTTGGACATAAAATCTTCACATTGAATATAAATGTAACACAAATTTATTAAGACTAATACTTTGATTTTTCCAGAAAAGCAGTGATATATAAATGCAAGGGAGGTTATATCTACAGTTACATTTGAGGTTGTACAAGATGGATGGCCAGTCATTTTCATATCTCCTTTTGAAATACTTTCTTGTGTTTGAGACTTTTTTTTAACTTCACTCAGTACACCATTTTGTGTATTAAGAAAGGAATATTCTGAATATTTTGTGAATTATAGCTTATGTGGATAACTAATTTTTAAAGAATTAAGACCAAGTAATTGATCTAGCATAAAAGCATTCTGAGTATAATTTAGTTATTTTGCTAAGGAAATCTTTTACTGGGCCTGAGGGTAATCCAGATAGACAAAAGTCATCACGAGGGTAGAAAGATATAGGAGACTGGTCTGAATCCAAAGCAACGTAATGACCTATCCTAGAAATGGATTTTTAAAATATTTTAAGATAATTTTTTAGCTGATACTAAGCTATTACTTTGTCATTTTTAAAATTTTCACCAAAATACAATGAAAAAACTCTGAATTTATTTTCTGATCATTCATTTGAACAGTGGGTAAAGAGAAGTGTTAATTTTAATTTTTTGTCTTACATTATCCAGTTTAGATCCATGACTTCCAGTGTATTATTCAGACTCTTCATCTTCTGCATGTCTTCTCATAAGATGGTACTCAATTCAATATTTAATAACAGATAGACTCAGTTTATTTCCTTACTTGATTTTATTTTTTATTGGACTGTTACAGGGAATCAGAAACAGAATTCACATACAATTCTACTCTCCTAAAACATTATACTGATAAGTAAGAGCAGTTCTCAAATATATGGATGGCTGAATCATCTTTGAATAAGGATAGCACATAAGATAATAAACTTTATTTTCATTATTGCAAGCCCAATGGGTAAGTGTTTGCCATTGACTGCAAGTGACAATTTACATTTAGAAATTGTGGGAAGTATGTATGTCAGCACCAATCTTCTCTCATCAGCCAAAGAAAAAGCATTAAGAGAGAACGTAATTGTGTAAATGCTAAAGGAGTGGCTTGAGATCTCATATAAAGCATACTATTTTCTAAGTAGAACTAAAAACAGCTTTGCTTAAATGTGATAAGGTCCCTACTAGATTTTGGAAATGGTAATCTCTACGTGTCCTACAAAGAAAGAGATCCAATATATCATTATAATATCAAATTTTATATTTGTAGACAGAAACAAGCATTTTACCATGTCATATTAATACTTTATCTGTCAAATCATTACTAATGGTTTGGGAGGACAGCCTTTTGGAGAATGACAGCAGGACTTGATAATGATAAAATGTTGATTCGACATCCTAACAGCCAGGGCACAAGGCAACAAAGCGGCTTATCCCAGTTTTCCACAACAAAAAAAACCTTTCAGATAGTTGTTATTCACATAGACACGTATTTGAAAAAAGGTCAAAGTCAGAAATTGCTGTGCCAGATTTGAGGCTGACTGTAGGCTTAGTTTCATACACCATTATTTTACAGACGACAAAGCCATGGCATAGGCCCCACGCACTCACTGGCCACCAGAGGTCTTGCAGTGCCTGTGTGAGCAGACTCAGAGATGGGGGTCTGTCAGCTCTTTTTCCTTTTACCAGGCGTGAAGGTACACGTCAGAGAGTATGCTTTTGTTCTTCTAAAACTTTACAGTTCTCATCATCACCCCATGGGAAGGAAAGCTTCCATTCTCAGGCATGGCGCAGAGTGTCGTGGAATCAGAGACCCCCAGGTTTGCCTCTAAACTGTCTCGTCATCTCCCCACCTCACTGGGCTCATGGAGACCTTCCATGTCCACTCGTCCTCACTTCAGTGCCTGCCTTTTGTAGATTTCTTCCCAGCACGGGTTTTTATTCCGAGAGACAAAGGGAAAGCAGCTGACCGTGAACCACAACATTGACACAGATCTTCATTTATAATGTTGTGATCCAGCTGTCTCATTTTCCTTTCTCAAAAATCACTTTCGGAGGATGGCTCAGAAAAAAGCATCATCATGCCCACGTGGTTTTAGGTGCCATCGAAATGGCAGTACTCTGGTGCTGCCCTGACACAGGTCAAGGCTATGCATTTAAGGTGAAGTCTCTCTCTTCTTTTCTTCAAACCTAATCTGTTTGGAGAAACAGCCCAAGAAGCATCATCTTGAAACATACTTGTTTGATTTCATTTTCACCACGCCATTTTTGGCCCCATTCACATGGTCACAAGTCCTGAACACGTACAACTGGCCTCATCCTGAACATTATACAGACTGTCAAAACGTTCAGCAGAGAGAAAGAGGATTTATCAGTTTTTAAAAATTCAGTAAGAAAGTGAGAATCAATGGCATCAAATTAAAATGATCTCTAACAGTGCATATATTCTGTTGTTTCAAAGTAGAACAGTGAAATGAAATTTGCGTATCTGTCATTTAGAATTACAACATATTCTGGAAATGATATTAAATCTGAAATACTGGGAGGAGAATATTTAAAGAAGAAAATATTTAACTGAGAAATGTCAAATAATGACACGAGCTTTCATTTGTTCATTTCCACCATTCTTCCAAGACCACTTGGAAGATCAGATGCTTTCCCCAAATCTTCTTAAGTCTCATTTCCATAGACCACTGAGGCTCAACAGTGGGCCTTTTGTTTGAAAGAAGGAGATCCTCAGGATGTGAAAAGTATTCTCGGAATATTTACATGTAAAGAAATGCCTTTGTTTTAACAAGGCGTCTGGTAGCCAGTTGTGAGTTCTGCCACTAAATTGCTGATACTCTCGTGACACTGTCTGTGCCTCCAGCCACACCCCCAGAAAATGATAAATTTGGGTAGTGAATCCAATTCCAGCTGAATCTGTGACCTGCACATGCCAGAACTGTAGGACTAGCAGAGACTTGGAAAGTTCCTCTAGCCTTTCTAAGCGTTCAGAAGGAGCTGTCTACTGGGATGGCCTTTTATAATTTTCTAAGGATGCTTATGGAAATGTTCTTATAGCCTAGCTCAGGACCTCTTAGCGAGGTAGGAAAGGTAAGTGTTATTGCATAAATGGGAAGACTGAAAAATCAAGACTAAACTGTGAGCTAGCCCAGAGTAAGTAGCAGATAGGAACTAATGACGCAAGTCTTCGTAATTTTCCTCTTCCCATTACAGTTGAGAAAACTAAGAACACAGTTCAGGCGTGGAGTCTAGTCCCTCCTCTGTCACTGTCTAGATGTGTACCCTGAGTAAATCATGTCTTTGTGGCTCAGTTTCCTCAAGTGAGAATAATTCCTGCTCTACCAAGGAGCTGTGAGGAACACACAAAATGCATAGTCCCTTCTTCACCCATGCTAGGAAAAGAGGATGTAAAATCCTTACTACTCAAATGATAGGAAAATTGAGACCAGATGGTACAAGGAGTTAGGATGAGCAGAAGCCCAAAGTTCTGGGCTATCTTCTAATAAGATATTTCTTTTGTCAAATCAGTTAGCTTCTTTGTCTCTCAGTGTCCTCAGCTAGACTTAGGAGGTCTTTCCAGAATAAAGAATATTTCTTTCTATTCAGCCCATAAGGTTTCCATCCTAGTTTTCTCTCCTATACATCATGCTGCCTCTGAAACTCTATTTTCCCTAAAGATGAATGGCTGAGACATTTACATGCTATAAAAAGGCAAGGGATTGCCAAATCAGTGTGACACATTTGAGTCCCACTGTGATTCTCTCTCTCTTTTTTTTAAGGATCGTTAGGAGCCTGTAGCAGCCTAATGGAATTAAAATCACCAAGCAAAGCATAATGAGGAGTAGGAGTCAAATTATTTTAGGAACTACTAAGACACTGTATGTGGCCTACTCAGAGGAATTCACTAAGATCATTAGCCTGCATGACACCCAGCAGGGACAGCCATCTCAGAAGTGTCCCCTCCTTCCCAGGGATCATTAATGCCGCTCAGCTCAGACCACAGCGGCCAGTGTCAGCCCCTCAAAGAATCAGCCACTTAATTAGATCTGGAGAACAGAAGGGAAAGGCAAGTTTTCAAGGTAAAATGCAGGGCAGAGTTTAGGAAAAGGGAAAGCCAGGGGCAGAGTGGATCTTTTCACATTAGCATTTTACTACATCTGACACAAGGAGATATAAAATTTTACAACAAATGGATTGAATGCCATAAGGAGCTAGGAAGAGCATCTTTTCTGGACTTGAAGAGTCATCTGCCCGGAGGGATCATCCTCCCTCAGGCTGAATTCCTCGCCCCCATGTGGACTTTGTGGGCTGGAGGCCCAGGCAGAAACTGGCTGTGACTTTTCCAGTGATGGAGGAGAGGGTGTCTGAGACACACTGCACCCACACTTGGAGCCTGGGGAATCATGTGGTATCCCGCTTGCTACCTGCCTGTCAGTCTGCTTTGCTTCTGGTGTTCCTCACAGGGACCACATTAGGAGGGAGAATATGGTGAAGAGTATTCTTTGCCTCCTGGCTGAGAGAAAATTATTCCTTCTCCACACCCATTAACACACATACACACACCATAACCTTATTTTGGCCCAACCCTTTATAATTCACAAAGTGCTTCCATGCCTATTTTCTTGATCCCTGAATAACACAGAGAGGGGATGGGGCAAGTGCTATACATTTCACAGATGGGAAAAGTGAAACTCAGAATAATGTAGGCCATTTGCCCAACATCCCAAAGGTAAAGGGGAATTCAGGCCTCCTTCAAAACTACATCTCATGACAGCCAACCTTGTACTTTCTACCATTCAAAAGGAATCCAACCTTTTTTCTTCTAAATTAATCTGAAGTTTTTTGTTCAGTACTAAAGTATGCAGAACAAGGTACACAGGTAGATCGAAAAGAAGAAACATGAAGAAATGGCCCCACATTTCAAGAAAATGAATTTTTATAAACAAATTGAATTATAAATGTTCAACAAAAAGCAAACTTACATGTGCGGCGTGATTCTTCAAAAGTGTGGTTAGAGATAAATACTGGCTGGGAAGGTGCTAGTGGGCTGGAGGTGCGCAGAGTTAATTTTCTGGAGAAGGGAGGTTTGGCGCTTACTTTTTGGGTCCTATTCTCAGAGCATCTACTTGGAGCATCTGTTGAAATCACAGCAGATGGAGCACATCAAAATTGTGTTTTCCTTTTTATTTATTTTAGTTCCTTGGAGAATCCTGGCACCTTAGGTACTGTGGAGGTAAAATAAAAGTTCATTTTTATATCATCATTTGTAATATAATGATATAAACATTATCTATTTCTGGAAAAGTAATTCCGTTCCCTTCCCTTCTTGAAGTGAAAACTAGAAATGAGATTTAAATGTGTTATTTTGCGAATAATGCACTCAGCTGTTTTTTTGTTGTTTGTTTGTTTTTGCAGTGCCAAGGGACACCTGATCCCCTGCTGCCTTTGAAAACCAAGAAGTTTTGTTGTGCTGATTTAACTGCCTACAATCTTTGCTGATGCTATCATAAAAAAAAAAAAAAAATGCTGATTCTGTCCTTTTTAACCCCTATGTGAAACTGACTTTTAACATACTTGTGCATTCTTTGACCCTCCATAAAGATGTCTGAACCTGACTCTTCATCTGTATTTTCGGGTAACGTGGAGAATGGAACTTTCCTTGAGCTATTTCCCACATCCCTGTCCACATCAGTGGACCCTTCCTCAGGCCACCTGTCAAATGTCTACATCTATGTGTCCATATTCCTCAGCCTTTTAGCATTTCTGCTTCTGCTTTTAATAATTGCCCTCCAGAGGCTCAAAAATATCATCTCCTCCAGTTCCTCCTACCCGGAGTATCCAAGCGATGCTGGAAGTTCTTTCACCAATTTGGAAGTCTGTAGTATTTCCTCTCAAAGGTCCACTTTCTCAAACCTTTCCTCATGAAGAAGATGGAAGAATTCCTGAATGCTGCAGCAGCCTAGGTTTTCCCTTGCAGGAAGTGTCACATGAACCAGCTGCTTCATGAAAGAAATAACCCCTTTCTTTTGCAACCAATTAGACCTGTTTCTCCTCCTTCACCCCTCATTTCTTGTTCCATTCATGATGCTTTTCATTTGTGAATGTAGGAGTTGATGCTGACTCAGAGAAATGTGTGCAAACCTCGAGGGGCAGAATTTCACACAAACCACCTGACAAATCGGAGCGGACCTCTTCAAGGTGGATCAGTTCATTTCACTCTGTGGGACACCTGAGGCAGAACTTATCTGAGGTTGCCTCACAGTGGGTGCTGGATATGGACTCTTGTACTTCATTTCTCTTTCAAAACCGTGAAACCAACTGAGCTAGCAGAAACTGGCAAAATTAAGTCTGAGCTACTCAGAAGATATTCTCCATATTTAAAAGATAAAGTGGAAATACCAAATTAAAAAAAAAAAGTCAATTTAGATTTAATGTATAACATTCGTAAAACTGGAGGCAAAATATGCTAAATGTTTTATTTTCACTTTAACAAATGAAAATCATATTAATTGATGAATTAAGTCATCATGGAGAAGTTTTGGAAGAGTTTAACTTTTAATAGCAAGACAAATATGTGTTATGATGCAGATTGTAATGTATTTTTGCCTCTTGGGTTTTTTTTTCTATCTACGTTATAGTCATAATACCCCTACTGTTGTGGAATTCTTTGTGATAATTGCTGTTACTAAGCGACACACCGTAAGAGACAGCAAGAAGTTTTTATTTTATATTTATACTTTCCATTAGTGGAAATGAAGCATATGGAAAATAGTCACTTAGTTCTGTTTTCTGCAGTAATAACTCCTAGCAGTCATGTTAAGCATGTTCCTTTATTCAGTTTCATAGTCTTATAATTTTAGCGCAGAATTCTGTTAAGGCTCCCAGATGTCAGATGTTTGCTCACTCACATTAGGTTGCAAAACCTAAGTGACTGAATTGCTAATATATATGTTGTTATATGCTCCATGAATGTTACAGGTCTCTGATAATTAGTTGTTCTATGTTAACATAATACTTTGCATTAGAATTCCAGGATGTGGGTTTTTATTAAAAATTGTAGACATTCAAGTTACGTCGCTGCTGGGAGCTTAGTGATCTTGGGAGCCACGATACTGTGGTCACCCAAGCACTGAACTTGGGGGCTTTGTCCATGAAATGAGGCATACATGTGAGCACAGACTTGGAATATGGAAGAAATCAAGCTCCCCCTAAAAACAAAACAAAGCAAATAAACTACAGCTTCTTCAGAGTAAGAATTTTAATTTAATTTTAAAAACAAATGGCCCACAGCATAAACATTGAACTTCGTCAGCCTACGGAGCCCACTGCATCAACATGCTCTGTCTTCCCATGGCAACTGGATCATTTCTTGTTCAAAACATTTTCTAGTCTTAAATAGTGGAGCTTCAGTACATGCTTTGGATTGATTGTGCAGGCGATACCCTCTAGTAACTCAAATGGGATAAAGAATCGACCATTTTTACAAGGTATATATTTGTCATTCTAAAATGCTAAGAGAGATGATGAGGACTGGTAATGAGGATCTGAAGGTTTCTTTCCTTTTTTTTTTTTTTAATCCATAAGCTTCACTTAAATCAGACCACATTGACCTATTTATATCAAAAATGTCCCCAGACACTGTAAGACCTGCACAGAGTTGCTGTCCTAAAATGTGTAATTAGTGAAAAATTTGCCTCTGCTGCCATTTAAAGCATGGCAGTATGTTGCAGTGTTATATGTAGTGTAAATGTTGGACTAGAAGAACTCCACTATTTTAGATCATTATCAGCAGTCTCTCAATATGTGTATGTGTGTGTACTAATGTATATATATTTTTTCACACACTCCCAATTAAAAGTTGTGTGAAAGCTACAGGATTACAGAGGCACTTGTGTTATCACTTTTGCTTTTTGATTAATTTTGTGCTACTTTGGTTATTGGGGAAGAAAGGATATGGATACAGTGATTTAAAAAATAATAATAAAGGAGCAAGTTTGCCATACAATAGGACAATCTCAGTATGATCTGTTCTAAGGGGTAACTTTATACTCTATCCTTCTGAAAGTAAAACTGCTTTTTAAAAAAATCTGCAGGCCTACCCCTGCCCACCCCCACTGCTGCAATGGTTCTTGCTCTCCAGGTTAAGTAAAGTAATTAGAACCAACATTCACGAATGAAAATTAGGACTTGTCAGTTTTGCCAGAATAGCAGATTATACAATTTGAGATGAATTGGTGTTGTCTAAGAAGTTCAGAAAGGTTGGAAGACTGGTTTATAAATAAAGAAGTAGAGCCCATTGAAAGCCTGGTTCTTCTCTTACTGTTTTCAGTGAGGTGGTACACAGTCTTCTCTCCTAGGAAGGCTTTTCCACCACTCTTTTTCTACACATCCTCTCTGAAGCAGGGTCAATAATGAGTGACCCCAATGTCAGCCTCCTTCCACCCCTGCAAGAGTCCCCTAGCCTTGGGGCACTGAGTTCCACACTTCCCTGATCAGAAGATTCACTTGGATGTTTGGAAAATATCCTGGTTCCCAGGCCACAGCCCAGACGTGAGGAGTGGAGCCAGAGAACTGGTATTTGTAACAAGGACACTGGGTGATGCTCGTGATCAGTGGGACACATGGTGGCAAAGGAAGGGTCACATATATTGCTCCAGTGTATTTGTGGAGACAAGAGGTCTTACCTCTCATCCACTGCCTAAGCAACTGCTGTTTCTCCAAGCTAAGTTCCCCATCCATGCACAGCTCACAGCACCCCCACCCCAAAACTACTCACTTTCCTGCAAAGGTCTGAACTTCAGGCCCCCTTCTCAGTGGAAAACTGCTGCTATCATACTGGGCTCAGTATAATAAGGACATGAGGAAGGTCGCATCCCTTCTTCCCCACAATACCACTTTCATAAGACCATGTGCAAATAACGGATGAGGACTGGGGGCTAACTGAGGGATTTATAAAATGAGAGAAAATATTTTACACTGTATTAGTATACCAGACTATTCTCACAATCCAAACAAAACAGTAGCACGACTAAAAAATGAATCATTCTTGGGGCGCCTGGGTGGCTCAGTCGGTTAAGCCTCTGACTCTTGGCTTCAGCTCAGGTCATGATCTCAAGGTCGTGAGATCGAGCCCAGTGTTGGGCTCCATGCTCAGCATGGAGTCTACTTGAGATTCTTTCCACTCCTCCCTCTCCCTCCCCCTTCTGCTCTCCCCCTGCTACTCATGATCTCTCTCAAATAAATAAATAAATAAATAAAATCTTGGGGGAAAAAAAAAAAAGAACCATTTTCAGGGAGAACTGCCAGTTTCTAGAATTGACTCTGCCTGAAGTCTGCCTTTCCCTGTTGGAGGCTGCCACTTCAAGTCAATGCCAGGTCTCACTCTGCTTTAGAAAGTCCTCTAGGATCCATCCCAGTTGATACAACATACAGACCCAAGTCTTCAGTACCGCATTTCCCAGAGCCTGAGTTACTCAGGATAGAATGCTCAAAGGGTGTGTGTGGAGGGGGTGAGTGTGGGTGGGTACTGGAGGGGAGGCTGTGGGGGAAGCTCAGAGTCTCCTAGGCCAGCTCTCTTCAGAATCTCTCCATCTGTGAGAGAACAATCGTGCTTCTCTTTCTTCTGGTTATCCAGTGGGCAGCTCTTAAATCCCACATGTGTCTGTGTTCGTGTACACAGACTCATACACGCAGAAACTCACACACATACACTTTCTTCCACACACATATAGCCCTCCCATTGAACAACAGTGTTCAATGTTTAGAGACCACACCTCAATTTTCAAAGTCCATTTACCTCAATTTAACCCTGCCTTCAATGGCAAGCAGAGTACAGTAGTTCCCCCATGCTCATCCTTCTACTTCAAAACTGTGCCTACACACCTTTTTAAAGAGACAATTACTAGTAATACTCCTTTTTATTGCAACAGAGCTCACTGATCCCCTCCCCTAGTCACATCTGACTATATGAAGACCTCATCAAACCACTGCAAGCACTGACTGCTTTTCTTATCTCTGATAAGATCCATTCTGAAGTAGGGTCTTCTCCACCCTGAACACTGCAAGGAGACCTAAGTCCCTTGTCACTAGACATAGCAAGCAGATATGGTTCCTGCCCTCATAAAGCTTACAATCTAGTGAAAAAGACACAAAACAAATGAACAAACAAGATGCATAATTACACTTACAATTAGCACTATGAAGAGAATAAAATGGTGAAACGATAGACAACAAGGCAAAGTCACCTAAGATAGGGTGGTTGGGGAGGGCCTTTTTGAAGTGTGTTGGGAAGAATATTCTCTCAAAAGGAGTAGCGTGTACAAAGGCCTGGGCAAGAAAGCTCAGCTTATGGGAGTAGAGAAGTCAGAGTGTTGTGGTGCAGAGAACGGAGTTAGAGGTGTGCAGGGACGGATTATGTAGGGATTGGTAGGTTATAGTAAGAGTTTGGGTTTTATTCTGAGTGCAGTGGGAATCCACAGAGGATTTTAAGCAGAACCATTAAATAATTGAATTTATGTTTAAGAAATATTACTCTAGCTGTTTTGTGGAAGATAGGCTAGAGATGGACAAAAAGCCCTATTCAGATCCAACCTGGGTGGAGTATGGGAGTGGGTGGAGAGTTGTTCTCCCTGCTACAAATATCATATCTGTTCATCTTCTAGCCATGGAAACGGTCTTAGCTTAGAATTAGTGTTAGCATGCAACTCTCTTCCTCTCCTCCTCCACCACACACTCACCTCCCTTCTTCCCTCCCTCCGTCTCTCTGTCTCTTACACACACACACACACACACACACACACACACACACCTACCTCCCATTCCCCCTCCTCTCCTCTCCTTACTTGTCCCCATTTGGCCCTTGCTACACTCTTTCAATCGTTTTCAGTCCATGGTAACTCTTTTTCCAGTATTTTCAACATGATGTGTGACTAATGTTCCAATAAAACTCTAATATTGGAGCAAAGTTAAAGCATTAAAGCATTTAAAATTTTGCTCCTTTAAAAATTCCATTCCC